ACCAGTGGGTCTTGGGTTTGATTCACAGTCAAGGGCACATACCTCAGCTGCAGGCTCGATACTTGGCCCTGGTCAGCGCACATGAGGGAAGCAACCAATCAATGTCTCTCTCTCTCTCTCTCTCTCTCTCTCTCTCTCTCTCCCCCCCCCCCATTTCTATCTCTCTCCCCACCCCCATTCTCTCTGAAAAAAATCAATGGAAAAAAATATCCTTGGAAGAGGATTGAAGAAAAAAAAAGAACAGGTAAAATACAAATTACCAGTATGGAGAATGGGAGAAGAGATATCACTATACATCCTATAAATATTAAAAGAATAAGGAAATAGTTTGAACAGTTTTATGGCAAAAGTAGACAATTTAGATGAAATGGACAAATTCCTTGAAAATCAAAAATTTTGCAGCTCTAGATTTTCTTTGGTTCTTTGTTAAATCTTACACTTTTTTCTGTGTTATGTTCATGTTTTCATTTAAATCCTTTGTGTGTTTAAACAGTTGTTAAACTTTTTCAAGTTTATTGTCTGAATACATTAATCTCTGTGGTTTCAGTTGTGTTTCTATTGGTTGATTTTTCTCCCGATTCTGGGTCACATTTTGTGCTGCTTTGCATATCTGGTAATTTTTGCATTTGATACTGGGCATTATATATATAACACGTTGTTGAATATTTAGATTTTCTTGTCTCCCTCTAATGATTATTGAGGTTTATTTTAGAAGGCAGTTAAGTTACTTGGAGATTGGCTTGATCCTACCAAGACTAGTTTCACACTCAGGAAGGGCAGTTATAGAGCAGCCCTTAATCTACAGCAATTTTAGACCCATATCCAAGGCATGACCGTCAGTGAAATCCTTAGGTTTTCAATGAGGTCTCTTCATTCTGGTTGGGAAGCCCTGAGAATTGTTCAGGATATAGGTCTCTCAGAGTTATTCTTTGCCTGGCCTGATGAACTTCAATTTCATTTACACACATGGAAATTAGTATTTCACTAAAGACTCAAGGAGACTGCTATCAGATCTCTTTTGTTATAAATTCCAATCACTGTGGCTTCCTCAAACTCCTATCTCTGCTTCCCCAACTCAATGTAATGAGCTCTCTTGGGTTCCCTCTCTCTGTGCTGTGATCTAGAAATTTCTTCTAGGCAAAAAGTAGAGTCAGCATTCTACTCACCTCTTTTCCTTCCCTTCTTTCAGGAATCATATTCCTACGCTGTTACTGTCCAACAGTTTGAAGACAGTTGTTTTGTATATTTTGTCCAGTTTCTTAGTTGTTAATGGAAAGAGGGCAAGTCCTATGCTATTTACTCTTTTATAGGCAAAAGTCTACATTCATAAAATTGACATTTAACAATATATAACTTAGGTTCCATTCAACACATTCATTGAGACACTACCATAAGCTGGAATTATGATAATAACTAGAGGCCCGGTGCACGAAATTCGTGCACGGGTAGGGTCCCTAGGCCTGGCTGGCGATCAGGGCCGATCAGGGCCTTTCTTCTGGCTGCTGGCTGGGGCCTTCCTTCGTTCCGCGCCGCCTCCTGGTGGTCAGCACACGTCATAGCGAGCAATTGAACTTCTGGTCTCCCAGTTGAACTCCCGAGGGGACAATCTGCATATTAGACTTTTATATAGATGATAGATAGATAGATAGATAGATAGATAGATAGATATGGCAAAATCTCTGATAAGAAACTGACTAAAAATAAAAGAGTATAAATCACATTTTCAGGAAGTTGACCATAAAAGGGTAGTAGGATTGGATTCTTGCAATCCCTTTAATATATTTTAATATATTTCAATTAATCTCAATCAAGAGTTTGATTCCACTTGACATTGTAAAATTTAAATGTTAAAAATATTTTTAAAATAAACTCATTCCTTATCCTTTGTTTTTATTATGTAAGTACTTGATACTATACACATTGATGCATAATCACCACTCAGACTCCCTTCAGACAGATTTATTGCATGAATTCTATTTAAATGACTTGACTTTTGGGTAGAATAATCAAAAAGTAGGAAGGGAATGAGCTTTTAGGGTACAATTTAAAATCAGAAGCACAATTCTAGTACAAAGAAATAGTTCCCCACCCCCACCCCCACCCCCACCCCACCCCCCGCCAAAAAAAGTGTGAGAACATTTAAGGAAGTTTTCTGAGAAGACAATTTTTATTCATTTTAATTTTTTGCATCAGGTATAGCACATAATTATAAAGATGTTAACACAGACCCACATACAGACAATTGAGAATGTGGCCCCATGATATCTGCAGGCTCTGAGCATCTCTGCAGTTGCCCACTTTGATCACTTTTTAACTTCCATGGAAGGTGCAGGTGTTGAGAAGTTCTGTGGAGCACAACATGAGAGAAAGACCTTTAGGTCCTGCCTGTACTTACTCAACACAATTCTGTTCTTATTTTCTAAAAGCAAATAGTAGGCGGTAAAGATTTTTTAAAAACGAGCACTCTCTCCTCTCAGTAATGTCAGTACTATCCTTAATCACCTACATTGTCCTTCCTTTCCTGCTCTCATTATCTGCAACACATGAAATAATTCAACAAAAAATCAGGTACACTCCCAATAATTGGGTTATCCAAGCTCTAATTTTATTTCTCCAACTTTTTTTTGAGGCATCTATGCCATTCTAGATAGAAAGGACCTACTATCATGTTAACTATATTTTGTTTCTATTGTTATTTTTTACATTTTACTTAAAGTCTTTGAAAATTGATCCTCTGAGTGGTATATACATGTCATTCCCAACCTTCTCCCTACATTTGAAGTGCTCACATACATACATTTTTATTTTTTACCAAAAAAAAGAAATATATATGTAAACAAGTTCAATTTCCAAATGATCTCAAGTTCTATTGCACACTCTGTCTCCTTCAAAT